TCAGAAGTGGCCCCTTGTGCTAGGCATGGTAGGTCATGTCTATAATTCTAGGACTCAGGAGACTGAAGCAAGGAGAATTGCCATGAGTTTGAGGCCAGCCTGGACTACATACTGAGTTCTAGGCTATCCTACAGAGTGAGAACTTGTCTCAGATAAGTAACTAAAAAAATAAGTAAATATAAAAGAAATGGACCACAATTCCCATGCAATTCTGTGTATGCCACTGACCTTTGCAAGCTGTGTGTGAGCCCAGGCTGGTGCAGCGCAGGTTTAACTACCTTGGATTTGTCACCTGCTGCCAAGGGAAGCCAAGAAAACCAGTATTTAGCTTTTTTAGTCCCCATGAGAAGTGGGTTTTGCTAGCAAGAAAAAAGACTACAGAGGAATGACTACAGAGAAACAGCTAGAAGACTTCGGGTGGGGCTCTGTGATCAAAAGGGATGAACCTCTGAAGAAACTTAAAAAATTTTAAATTTGCTATTATTTGTGTGTGATGTGTGTGATGTGTGTGATGTGTGTGATGTGTGGTGGGGGGGCGGTCATGCATAGCCACAGCTTTCCTGTGAACGTCAGAGGACAACTTCATGAAGTTGGTTCGTGATGTGTGTGATGTGTGTGATGTGTGTGATGTGTGTGATGTGTGTGATGTATGTGGTGTGGGGGGGGCTGTCATGCATAGCCACAGCTTTCCTGTGAACGTCAGAGGACAACTTCATGAAGTTGGTTCTCTCTTTCCACCTTTGTGTGGGTTCCAGGGCAATACTTTTACCCACTAAGCCATCTTATCATCCCAGAAGATACCTTTTTAAAAAGGATTGGGGGCTGGAGAGATGGCTCAGCAGTTAAAAGCATTGGCTGCTCTTGCAGAGGACCTGGGTTCCATTCCAAGCACCTATATGGTGGCTAACAACTATCTGTAACTTCAGTTCCAGGGGATCCGACACTGTCTTCTGGTTTCCATGGGCATTGCATGACATGGGTGCATTTATTTATATACATGCAGGCAAAACATTCATATACATTAAATAAAAAATAAGAATTTATTTAGGGGCACAGGGGGGTGGGGTGGCAGCATGTGTTTAGGTCAGAGAACAACACACAGAAGTTAGGTCTCTCCTTCCACTATGTGGATCCTGGGGGTGGAACACAGGTCATGAGGTTTGGCGACATGCGCCTTTACCCACTGGGCCATCTTGATGCCCAGTGCTTTTTATTGAAATTAAATAAAACATAAAAATGCTTATGTAATGGAGGTGTAGTGTAAATTTTCACATAGTAGACGAACTCAAGTACCCAACCCCCAGGTCATAAGCAGAATATTACCAGGCCCTCAGTAGATATCCTCAAACATTTTTTGCTCACAGTCTATGATAGTTAATTTCAGTTGTCAACTTGATTGGATAAAGAAATACCCAACGGGGCTGGAGAGATGGCTCAGTGGTTAAGAGCACTGACTGCTCTTGCAGAAGACCCAGGTTCTATTCCCAGCACCCACATGGCAGCTAAGAACCATCCTTAACTCCAGTTCCAGATGAATCCAGTGCCCTCTTCTGACCTCTGCAGCATTGCATGACATGGGTACACTTACACACATGCAGGTAATACACTCATACACATAAAATAAAAAAAATATTTTAAAATAAAAAAACTCCCAAGGCATTAATGAGGCTCAGTTTCTGTTTTGTTTTTGTTGAGAAAAAATCTCCCTGTATCCCCAGCTGCCCTGGAACTTGCTATATAGATCAGACTGGCCTTGATCTCACAGAGATCTGCCTGCTTCTGCCTCCTGAAGGTATTTCCCACCATGTCTAGCTGAGGCACATCTTTGGATGTGTCTATGAGGGCACTGCAGAGAGATTCAACTAAAGGAAGATTACCCTGAAGATGAGGTGCCACACCAGGACCTGATGTCCCAGGCCAAACAAAAAGGGGAAAAGGTTAAAGCCAATTGAACACCAGTATTTTCCTTTTTCTGCTTCTTGAGTTGCCCAGATGTTAGTAAGCTACCTACCACTATGCCTTGCCTGCTATGATGGACCGTGCCTCTCTATGCCATGAGCCACAATAACTGTTTCATCCTTTAAGTTGCTTCTTCTCAGGTATTTAGTCACAGTGATGAAAAAAGTAATTAATATACAAAACAGGTACCAGGAGTGGGGTCATTGCTATGATAAACCTGACTGTGTTTTGCAGGCCTTTGGATCTGCTTTGTGGGAGGAATGTTGGAGAGTTTGGAGTTGTGGTCCAAAGAAGTCCTAAAGTGCTGTAGGCAGAGCTTAATGGGCCATTCTGATGAGGGTTCAGAAGACCAGAATGCCAACAGAAATGTGGATAGTCAAGACTGCTCATGAGGCTTCTGGGGGGGGAGCAAAGTCTCTATCAGAAACTGGCTTAGCAGTCTTTCATGTTGTATTTTGGCAGTGAATCTGTGTTTTGCCTGTGTCCTGAAAACTTGAGTGAGAATGAACTGAGAAGTAATGGATTAAGTTTTTGGTGGGAGAACTACTAAGACAACAGAGGCTCAAGCTGTGGCATGGTTAATTGCTGCATTTACTAAGGTTTATATTGAGAATTCAAGGCAGGAAGATGTTAAAAATGTGTGATTTGGCAAGGAAAGGAATGTAAACATGGTTAAACCTGTGTATAGGGCAGACAGGCAACAGTAAGTACCAATAAGAGCACTGCAGTTACTATGGAAATTCGCACCATGAGGGAGGACTCTGGCATCTTGCACTGGGACAATAGGAAGGCTGGCTGGAGGGTAAGATCTTATCTACAGAAAACTCCAGCTTGTGAAAATGCAAATCATTTGAATGGAGAAAGACTGAACCAAGAATATGGCTGAAGGGCTTCCCTGCTCAGAAACAATCACCTAGGGAAGTGTTTCCCCATGTTCAGTTGCCAAGGTGCACAGAGGCCAAGACAGCTGTGGTAGAAGGGACCAGACTACATCTTGAGCTGATAGCAGAAGTTAGCAGTGTTGACCACGTGGCACTGGTTTTGCAGTCAAGAAAGATACAAACTTGGCATCAAGGTTCCAGAAAGTCATTAAAGGCAGTCAGTGTGTAGCAAGGTTGGATTTCTTGCAAGGAGACTTTGAGGGGTCATTGCATGAAGCTGTGAAACCTAAGTTGCAGGGGAGACCCCAGTATGTTGGAGATGCTGTGACTGTGGGATGTCTGCCAAAGAAAATTGCTGTCATGGGATGGAAGTAGCTCAAGAAAAAGACTATGTATGTTGCAGGTGACAGAGCTGGAGGGGCTCCAAGGCTGGTATGAGTCCATCATGAGCCTGGATGCTGTTCCTGGAGCTGCAGGATCTCGGAGTTGCCCCGTTGAGTTTGTCTTGCTTTGGCCTGATCTTCTCTCCCTTTTGAAATGATGATGTTTATTCTGTGTCATTGTATATTGGAAATATGTAACTTGATTTTTTAGTTACAGGGACCCCGTTAATAGATTGTCTTGAATCTCAGAATAGACTTTGGATTTAGGACTTTTGAACAGTATTGAATTTGTTAAGACTATAGATGACATTTGAAGTTGGAATGAATGCACTTTGCATTGGGACGGCCATGAGCTTATGGGGTCAGGGGCAGAATATTATGATTTGAAGTGGTATGTTTCCATGTGAAGTTGACAAAGGGTAGACTTGTGATAACTAAATTTCTTTTTGAGGCAGCGTCTCTCTGTAGCCCCAGCTAGTCTGAAACTTGCTATATAAACCAGGTTGGCTTTGACCAGAGAGAGATCTGCCTGCCTCTGCCTCGGGAGTGCTAGGATCAAAAGCATGCACCATCATACCAAGCACGGTGGCTACTTTTGATTGCCAGCTTGATTGGATTAGTAAACACCTAGAAAATTACTAAGGCACATCTTTGGGTGTGTCCATGTGGCTGTTTCCAGAGAGGGTTAGCTGAGCCAGGGAAGACACACCCTGAATGTGAATTGGGCTGGAATCCCAGAATGAATAAAAAAGGAGAAAGGAGAAAGCCAGATGAGCATTTGCCTTTCTATGCTTCCGGATCTGCCCAGATATGAGCAGGCTGCATGCCACCATGTTTTCCAGACAGCCTCTGGTATACCAGGTGGGCCATGAGAACATGGGGGAAGGAGCCTTTGCACTTACTGGGTACATTCTTGCTGGGGAAGGCTCAGGAGGCTCTGCTTCGTAGCTCAGATAACTAAAGGGTGCAATGGAACCGAGGAATCAGATTTGGTCTCAGGTCACAGAAGCTAGGCCAGATAGTAAATTTTAGCCCTATACAGGTTATACTGTGAAAGTTCATGAAGTCTAAGTGATGGGTTGATGGGTGTAGCATGATACTTAGGGATGGGGCTGTAGCTCAGTGGAAGAATGCTTGCTTAGCATGTGTTAGGTCCTAGATCTCTCTCTCTCTCTCTCTCTCTCTCTCTCTCTCTCTCTGTCTCAAGTCCAGCACACACTAGGCACCTAACATACCTTGTGGATGACTGTGTAACAAAACTATTCTACAATGCCATAGGCTCATAGGCTGTGGGGTACAGAGAGGGTAGCAAGCATGTTGGCACTGAGGGTCTTATTCCTTGACCCTCACAGGAAACAAGAACAGCACAAACTATCAGAGACTCCTCAGCCCCTTACCTCCAGAAGCCATGAATTACCATTGGCAGGGTGCAGTAAAGGCAGACTGATTTCAGTATTAACTGAAGCAAAACCTAATTAGGAAAGCAAATTGATTTCCAAAAAAAGATTAGGATGATCTGTTCCTGGGACTGTTTGAAATGGTTTTTTAATTGTCAGTTCTTTTGCATTATTCATGCAAATGTGCGTCTTTGTGAGTGAAGTCCAGCTCACTTTCCTCCTCCAGCCCCGTGGGGGCTGAGCTGGCCATTCCTCTGGGCATAGCTGGGAGCCTGTGGGGAGATGGACACAAAGATGAGCTGGGGAGGGGCTCTGGGCGCAGGGCCCAATGAAGGATACAGAACTGAGAGCTGCCTTTCTCCACCTTCCCTCACGCCCAGGTGGCGAGATCTCAAGGGAAGGGCATCTTCCTCTTCAGGAGGCTGAAGGATATCATGGACTGGAGGAAGGTAAGCCTGTCTCTTTCCCTCCTCCCCAAACCCTACCTTCCAGGAAGAGGCCCTGTCTACTTTTCTCCAGAACTTGAAGGGTTGGCAAATGAGATTTGCCCACAAGAACAGCAGCTCTGGGTCCAAATCCTGACCTCGCCCTTCAATAGCTATATAGCGTTGGGCAAGTTACTATCCCTTTTAGTGCCCCAGGAAATGGGGGCAGGAGCAGTGCCTGCTGAGGGTGTGATCTGCTAATGAACAAGACCCCCTCAGCAGCTGTGCTCTTGGAGAAATGACCTGTGCCTTCTGAACTTTGGGGGTGATGATGGTGCTGAGAGCAGGGGGCAGAATGCTCCAACTCCTACAGGCAGCCAGCAGGTTCTTAATAAATGCCTTTCCCTCTACACTCGTCCCAATGCATCCTGTGCCCATTAGGGCACTGCAGGAAAGAAGCTCATCAGTGTGGAGGCCCAGCCAGTTCATGCCAACATCAACCCCTCAGGCAGTCATGTGAGTAGAGGCAGTGTGGTGAGGCCCAGGAAGGAGAGGCCAGGCTGGCCTGGTGGGTGCCATGGCTGGAAGGAGGGGTTTCTGCCTTGACAGCCAGAAGCCCTTAGGCCCACCACTGGGTGGCTGTGTGAGTCCACCAGGTGTATGACCCTAGTCTGTGATCCCTGTGAAGGAGTCAAGGGTGCAGAAAGAATTTGGTAGCTGAGAGGGCTGTACCCATGAATGTTGCTGTCAGCTGAGCTCGTAGAGGGATATGGGCAGCCCTGGGGGCTGCTGGTATACTCTAGGTAGCACTGTGCTAGAACTTTCACAGTGGGTAATCTCTGCTCTCACCAGGCTGGGCACTGGACATGGGGACTGCACTCCTAAGGGCCTGGGTCCCTCTCTATCCCCCCCTCTCTCTGTGTGCTATGGATAGGCAAGTACTTTACCACTAAGCAAGCTACATGGTTCAGTGGTAGACTGCTTGCCTATCAGGCACAATGCCCTGGGTTCCATCCCCACTACTACCTCCCATGGATTAAACTGTATAGAACACAAACTTCAACACTTTAACCATTTGTGTGTGTGTGTGTCCGTGTGTGTCCGTGTGTCCGTGTGTGTGTGTGTGTGTGTGTGTGTGTGTGTGTGTAAGTCAGAGGTCAACACTGGATGTCTGCTTCCACCACTGTCCCCTGTACTTTAAAAAATATTTTATTTATTACTTTCATATGTATGAGTGTATTGCCTGCATGTATGTAAGTGCACCTGTGTCGTGCAGTGCCCACAGAGGTCAAAAGAGGGCACTGGAGTGCCCTGGAACTGGAGTTACGGATGGTTGTTAGCTGCCATGTGGATGCTGGGAATTGAATCTGGGTCCTCTGCAAGAACAGCCAGTGCTCTTAACCACTGAGCCATCTCTCCAGCCTCCACCTTACTTTTTGAGGCAGGGTGTCTCACTAAACCTGGAGCTAACTGATTCAGCTAGACTAGCTGGCTAGTGTGCCTCAGGGAGCCTCCTGCCTCTACATCCCCAATGCTGGGACTACAGGTGTGCCACTGTGCCCACTTTTCTGTAGGTTCCAGGGATCTGAACTCAGGTCCTCATGCTTATGTGGTACTTTGCTGACTGGGTCATCTTCCCAGACCCCATCTTAACCATTTTTCAGTGTTTGGTTCTGAAGCATAATGAGCATTTATTTCATGCGACTGCCACCAACCCCATAGCCAGAGCACACACATCATCCTATACCCAAACTGGAATGCATCCATTCCGCACTGATCCTCAGACACCCTTCTGCTCTCTGTGACTAGAGATCTCCCAGAGGTAGAACTCTAAAGCGTCCTTTAGTCTCTGGATTATTGCATGCAGCCATTGGCTTCAAGTTTTGCCCATGTTACAGACAACATGTGGTTTCATGTTTTTAATCAATATGAATAGAAATATAAGAGTCACATGTGGCCAGTGCTGCCTCTGGGGCAGCACAGGTCTAGAGGTTAACCACCCAAGCTCTGGGCCCAGACTCCATGTGGGTCTAAACCCCAGCTGTGCAGTGGCCAACTGTGTGACCTTGGACCCGCCACTACACCTCTCTGCTGCTGATGTGCTTCTGTAAAATGGGGATTACATTAGTACTTGCCTGAGAGGATCAATTTAAGGATCAAATAAAGTACCCAAGGTGCCATGCCTGACACAATGCCCAGAACACAGGATGCATTCACTATATGCCAATGATCACTCTTATCACAACCAGGACACAAAGAGTTCTGATGACCAGAAAGATGAGATTCCTGCGGAGAACTATGTTGCTCAGCGTTACATCGAAAATCCCTACTGATAGGAGGTGAGATGGCTGTCTCCACCCCCTGCCCTTTTGACCAACAGTCAGTCAATAAGTTTACAAGGGCCCAGCCTGACAATGGCCTTCCTATTCCTTCTAGGGTCAAGAAAGTTCTCCTTGGAAAGCCAGTTCACTCACTCATACTGTCATCCAACAAAAAGGCCTTGGTGCCAGCCTGCTGGCCGGGCACTGGTCACTTGCTGTGTGTTCACAGAGCTTATAGTCTGTGTGAGCAGGCAGCAGCAAGCCTGAAAGAATCCACAGCCCCACACAGGGCTGTGGAGAACAGGGCGAGGGGAAAGAGTGTGGTAGAGGAATCAGGAGCCAGGTGACCTCTGGGATCACCTGTGGGTAGACAAGGAAGAACAACCTGGGGAGAGACCATGGCCAGGGCAGAGGACCCTCGGGGAGTGGCCCTACCCTGAAGCCAGGGCAGCAGACTCAGGCCTTTCCACATGGGGTTTGTGAGCCATGTGGGGAGAAGTATATGACCCGGGGGGTCTTCCCTCAGGGACATCACTGCAGCTGCTCTCTTTCCACCTGCTTCCTCCATGTCCCCCAGCAATGACCCTGGTGGTGGGAGGCAGCCCTTGGGCCTCTTCTCATCTTCCTCCACCAGTGACTCCAGCTTTGTCTCCAGCCAAGACCTTGCCTTTGAACCCCAGATCTCTTGGACATCTAGCAACTCTATTCCAACATGACCTAGATTCAACCCCACCTCCCCACAGTCTGGTTCAGTCCTCAGCCTGGCCATCTGAGCCACAGCCTCTCCACCCCCAGATTGCTAAGCCAGAATCTGGAAGTACCTGGGTGCCTCTGGTCCTTCCAACCTGTCTGGTCACTTTGCTTTTCTCCCTCCTGAATGACTGTACTGGCTCTCCACTGCCCTGATCCCTTGTATTCTACTCCAACACAGAAGCCAGGGGCATTGGCCCCTGTCAGTGGCTTCCCATTGTTTGTAGAGCAAACTCAAAGACTATGGGGTAGACCTGACTGCTTGCCTTGCTCACCGCATCTGCACAAGGCCTGGCCCCTGACACCCACCTTTCCTTGTCTGTACTTGGCCTGGTCCCTGATACCAGGGGCTTTCCTTTCCCCTGGGCCCATGTTCTTTGCCCCTCTGTTCTTGATCTAGACAAAATGCCTTTTCCACCCTGAACCGGGGCTGCATCTGTTCACATATCTGTCAGTCAGCACTTCTCACAAGGCCTTCTGTGGCTCCTAAGCCTCCAGCCTTGCCACATACTAAACATGTCTTCTAGCCCAGTCCTCTCCCTGTGCCCTGTGTGACTGTGCCAGGAGCTTCATATTGGCAGTTTGGATCTATCTGTCTCCTACTGGGAGACATCTAGTATGCAGTCTGACAGCCAGGCAATATTTGTTACACAAATCAATTCTCTCTGACAGGTCGAAAGTTTGACCTGCGTGTCTACGTGCTAGTGATGTCGGTAAGTCACCAAGGCCAGGTCTCCTCCAGTGGAGCCAGGCTGAGTCACTCTGGGGGACTTGTGTGAGCTTGTCTGGCTGCCTTATGCATTATCTCCTAGCTACCCACATCTAGAGTTGCCCTCTTCCCACCCCCTTTCACTCAGTTGTGCAGGCACCCACAGAAACTGTGTACTAAGCATCTACTAAATACCAAGCTCAGCACTCAGCAGGTTGCCTATCATGCAGTCCTCCCAATAAATCAATGAGACACTAGAGTATTATGAGAATGAATACGGAGAAAGGGGCCAAGAGTGCTTGTGCATGCCATGCTCTGGAGGCAGAGGCAGGAGGATCTCAAGTTTAAGACCAACCTGGTTTTAAACTTAGTGAGTTCTAGGCCAGTTACATAGCAAGATCCTGTCTCAAGAAGGTAAAAGCAAAAACAGATACAGAGAGGTCGAGTGGTTTGCTCAAGGTCACACAGCAAATGAGTGGCAAAACTGGAATTCAAATCCAGACACTTGACCCCAGAGGCTGCCCTCTTGACCAGAACTGCTGTATTCCCTTCCTACCTACCCACCTACCCACTCATTGATTCATTCATTGATTCATTCGCTCAGCACATATTAGATCTTCATGATCTGCACTCCACCAAGAACAAGGACTCAAGGTATCTGAGACAGAGTGAGTCCATTTTCCTGGACCTCACAGTCCTGATGGGGTGTTAGACATGGTAGTAAACCCATTGTTTTGTTCCTTCTGCAACCCCAGAGGAGGAGGAAGTTGAGTTACAGGAGTGCGGTTGAGCAGATGATTGATGCTGTATGAAAAGGAAGCAAGACCTTCTGGGAACGCAGGTGCAGAGCTAGGGGACCAGAAGAGCTCAGAAGCCCATTTCCTTCTCTCTCCCTCTTTCCCTTCAGTACAACCCACTGCAGGCCTGGCTGTACTGAGATGGTTTCGCCCGTTTCTCCAGCACCCGCTTCACCCTGAACATCGACGACCATTGTATCCTTCTACCCCACACCCACCCCTGCTCCTTCCAGTCCTGTCCACCAGCCAGTCCCCAGGGAAATTCTCTCTACCCAAGGATAGAGAAGGCCCATTGGAGTATGAGCACAAGAGACCCAACACAAGACCAGCTCAGTCCTTTCCCTCTGAGAGCTCCTATGGGGGAGGGCTCTGTTCAGAGCAGCTCCCCTCAAACATCTCTGGGTGGTCTTAGTGGGGTGTCTAGCATTCAGGCTCACCCAAATTCATAAGAAAGGACAGGTCTGGCTCCTTTGGAGAACACTTGCACCCCTCCGTGTGCCTTTTCAGTGCCAGCTAATGAGTGTTCAGCTCACTCTTCCACTCAAATACAGTCCCGTTTTCACCACCCCATCAGCATAGACCAGGACTTAGATGGCACATCGTCTTGGCAAAGCTAGGGGGAGAAAATGTGACTAGTGGAAGTGTAATATGGTATAACCTTCTGGTCAATAGCTATCAAAAGCCAGATGCATATATCTTCTGAGCCAGCAAGCACCCTCTGAGTGTGTATCCCACAGGCACACCCACAATATAGGAAAGGACCGGTTTAGGGACTATGCACTGCACATCCTAGAGGGTGAGAGCCAAAAACTAGGGTGTGCATTTATACAGAGGACTATTATGCAGCTGTTAAAGGAATGCTGGGAAATGCTTCAGGTACTAATGGGAAACAGTCTCCAGGGAAAAGAATATATGGAGCAGCTAAAGTATGTCCCATGTTATGTCCCATGTTTGTGCTTAGGCATCTCTGACAGACAAGAAACTGAAAAATGGGTGGTGGGGTTAGGAGAGAGAGAGAGAGACAGAGAGAGACAGAGAGACAGAGAGAGAGACTCATTTCCACTCAACCCCACCACCCATTTTTCCTCTCAGAGACAACTTCTGTTTCCAGTTTCTCTATCCTCCTCCTCCTCCTCCTCCTCCTTCTCCTCCTCCTCCTCTCCCCCCTCCTCTCCCCCCTCCTCCTTTCCCCCTCCTCCTCTCCCCCACTCCTCTTCCTCCTCCCCTCCCTCCTTTTCTGCCCCCTCCTCCTCTCCCCCTTCCACCTCTCCCCCTCTCCTCTTCCTCCTCCTCCTCTTTCAATGCTAGGGTCAAACCTATGGTCTTGCACATGCTAGGCAAGCGCTCTACCACTGAGCCATACCCCCAGCCTGGCTTCCAGTTTCTTGTCTGTCATTAAGAGATGTTAACTTTTGAGCCAGATGAATGCATTACCTACAAAGTATGTGCATATGTATATATAGTTTTTTAATTAAAAAAAAGACTTTGCTGGGTATGGTGGCATCTGCCTCTTATCTCAGCATGTGGGAGGTTGAGACAGGAAGATTATGAGTTTGAAGCTAGCCTGTCCATAGAATGAGATCCTGTCTTTTAAAAAAATAGAACTTGGCTGTAGCTTAGTTGGTAGAGTGCTTTCCTCATACACATGAAGCCCTGGGTTCCAAATAAATAGGTCACAGTGTTTATTATAGGTCAAACCTATAATCCCAACAGTTGGAAGATGGAGGCAAGAGGATCAGGAGTCCAAGGTCATCCTCAGCTACAGAGTGACTTGAGGCCAGCCTGGGATATGTGAGACCCTGTCTCAAAAACAAAAAGCCCAGGTTTTTGGATATTTGGACCTGATCTTCAGAAGGGGGAGGGACACAATCCAGAGCTACTTGGGGGCTAACCTGCAGGTCTGCACATCCACACAGATCATCCACACACAAGAATAGCATGCTGGGCTGAGGAACGCAGCCTGTGCTTTGAGCCAGCCTCTTATCCCTGCCTTGATTTCATCTTTCAGTTTAAGTTTGTACCCAAAGTAATATTCTTGTTATTTTCCAGGCTTTACTGACTTGATTTCTGTTATGTTTATTTTACTCAGTAATTCTAACAAGCATTTGTCACATGCATGTCATCAAACTTAGTTTAGTTTGGCTTTATGGCTGCCTTGTTTTTATTAAATTAAATAATACATGCAAAACACACAGAATGCTGCCTGCCTGAGTTACCCTTTGGTAAATTCTAGTGGCCTCCATCTGCTGTTTCCAAGCATTTGCCCAGCTCTGAGGATCCTGGAGACTTACTGAACAAGCCCAGCCCTTTCCCAAGCCCATTTCTGTTTAATGAAGCTTTGCTCACTAAATATTCACACTGAATAACTGCACCAGACTTTCTTCCCCTCTTTTAAATAGTTTTAAATTTTTTAAATCTTGAAATTAAAATATACAGAAAACTGCAGAAAAGACTATGTAGGAGCCCCGTGCATCTGCCTCATGAGCCTGGAGCTCACTGATTCAGCCCAGTTGGCTGACCAGCAAGCCCCAGTGAACTGCCTGTCTCACCTCTCCAGTGCTGGGATTACAAGCATATGCCACTATGCCTGGATTTTTTTCCCTCTGGGTTCTGGGGAGCAAACTCAGGTCTTCATGCTTGGGGAGCAAGCACTTTACCAACTGAGCTATTGCTCCAACCCTAAACATACCTTTTAATTTTTCAAATAAATTTATTTTAAATTTATTTTATGTGTCCAAGTGTGTTGCTTGCATGCATGTAAGTGCACCCATGTCATGCAATAGTCTTGGAAGCCAGAAGAGGGCATTGGGATCTCCTGGAACTGGAGTAAAGGATGGTTGTGAACTGCCATGTGGGTCCTTTTAATTTTTTTTTTAATTTTTATTTTTATTTTATGTGTATGCATGTATTGCCTGCATGTAGGTAAGTGCACCCATGTCGTGCAATACCCGTGGAGGTCAGAAGAGGCTGTCGGATCTCCTGGGACTGGAGTTATGGACAGTTGTTAGCTGCCATATGGGTGCTGGGATTCGAACCTGGGTCTTCTGCAAGAACAACCAGTGCTCTTAACCATGGAGCCATCTCTCCAGCCCCTGAACCTGAGTCCTTTACAAGAGCAGCCAGTGCTCTTAACTGCTGAGCCATTTCTTTAGCTCCTATTTTTTAATTAAAAAAAATTTACATACTAACTTTAAAGCAATAATTTTTTGGATTACAAAATAAGAAATACATTTAGCTTAACTTTGGTGTATATAATATATACAGCATATAGGCAATTATTCATATATATACAAATACATATATATATACACATATGAAAAATATGAAACAGTGTCATGTATGATGGCACACACCTTTAATCCCAGCACCTGGGAGGCAAAGGCAGGTTGATCTCTGTGAGTTCAAGGCCAGCCTGGTCTACATAGGGAATTCCAGGCCAGCTGGGGCTACAGGGAGACCCTGTCTCAAACAAAAATCCAGGTCTCCCTTGTACTTGGTTGTAGCCGTTCAACGAAGCTTTGGCTAATGAGTTATGAGCACAAGGGTGACAGGGGACTTCTAGGATTCCTTAAAAGGCTGGGATTCAAATGCTCTTTTTGCCCTTCTGGACTTCTTCTGTCTCTCTTCCTGGAATTCAGAAGTGGCGAGTGGAACTCTGGTAGCTATTTTGGGCCTATCGTAAGGGGAATTTGCAGATGCCAGATCAGAAAGACAAAAGCTTGGTGGAGCGGTGGAGCTGTTGCTCTAAGAGGCTTGGCTTCAGTAAACACTAACGGAAACGGAGGGTTTGCTGTTCCCTCCGTCTGTAAGTCTCCCCTTCCAGCCTTCTCTTCTCCACTTCCTAGCTCAGTACTTTGGAATGGTCGTTGATTCATCGTTAGTTATCTTTCCAGTCAGCCTGTTACCAGGAACTGTCAATCTTCTGTGTTAGGTACTTCCTACACTTGCTCATCTTTCCCTTTAAGTGTGTGTGTGTGTGTGTGTGTGTATGTGTGTGTGTGTGTGAATGAAACAGCCCACCCCTGAGGACTGGTGAATGGATTCTAGAGTGGCGTGGAACTGAATATCTGCCAAGAACAATGAGGAGTTGAAGGTCCTGACAAGGGAGTGTCTGAGGTAAACTAGCAAGTGAGACGAATGTGGTGTGGGGAACTGGTTTAACAATCCTATTCTTACTTTTTAAAACATTTATGTTTAGGTGAAGTAGGGAAGGGAAAAAAAGAATAAAACAAAAAGTCTATCATGCATTTGAAACTGACTTTTGTCTATGATGTGAGGCAGGGGGCTGGTTTATTTATTTGTTCAATTAGTTAATAATTTAGTCAGCTAATTAGTTTTGCACCTGGCTGTTTAGGTAGTTCTGTCCTATTTGTGGAAAGACTCCTCTTTCTCCCTGGCATTACCTTCACATATTTTTGGAGGTCAAATAGCCTAGTATGAGGGCCCCCTTCCTGTTTAGTGAGTGGTCATGTGTTCACTGTTTTGAAACTGAAAGGGGAAAAAAAACCTCTCAGATAAATGTGAAAGAGAAGAAAAAGGTCTTTGGGGAGATTTCTAAAGGTGACATCTAGGAAAAATGTGCTAATGATGACTCTCACCTTCTAAGAGGCTGATGTCACTCTGCCCAGCCCCATGTGCCACAGACAGGCAGAAATCTGCTGCAGGAACTTGGGCAAGGGACCTGGTACTTCCAACTCCCCAGCCCAGAAATGTCCCAAGTAAGTCCTGGAGAGTTATGTCATTTCTCAAGGTTTGGAGATCCATCCTGCGTGGCCCTGGGGGAAGGATGCTGGGCAAACGTATTTTAATGCTGTCACTCTCCTGAGTCTCTAAAGTTTCACCTGTGATATATGTGAATTGCTCTGTGAGCCACAGTGTGTCACCAGTGTCACTGGAGGTGACACAAAAGGCAGGCTTTCAGGCCTGGGTCTTTTAGCACCTGCCTGACCCCTCCCCTTCGCCAATATTCTTAAAAAGAGGTCACCAGTCCAAACCCCTCTGGGGTCAGGGAGCTCTCTCCTGAGAGGGCTGTTTGGTATGTGGTCTCTAATTGTTACAATGTTTCCTCTTCAGTTGAACAATCATAGTATAGTCACACCAGCTTTTCAGGCAATCTAAGAGGTACTTTGATCTAATCCTCCAGATAATCCTGTGAAGCCAATACACTATCATGTGCTCCCATTTAATGGGCAGGAAAACAGGCTCAGAGAGGTTACTCAGATGGCTCAGGGGTCCACAGCCCCTGAGATTCACCCAGATCTTGCTCTTGTGCTGGTCTGACTCCAGAGCCCATGTGTGTGAACTATGTGAAGTCTGAGCAGCTCTTCAGCTCTCCATCAATTCCTAAGCTAGTGTCTCAGTTTAGTCCCTGGGGCAGCATGGAGCCCTTCCTGTCTATAGTAGCCCTTGACCGCCAACCTATGCCAGATGTTCACCTCACCAACGTTGCTGTGCAGAAGAAGTCTCCTGACTACCACCCGGGAAAGGTGAGGAACCAAGGCTTCTGCCTTCCTGGGCCACATAGGAGGATCAAGTAGAGTGGCCTGGAGTCCAGGATAGGCCACAGAGGGCAGGCTCACCCTTCTATCTGCAGAGCCAGGGCAGAGGAACAATAGAAATCCATTGAATGTCAAACTAATATACCCCTAAAGAAAATGTGTTCTATCTTCCTATCTCAGAGATCTCTTGCTGATCAGTCAACCAATTTGTGTATAATATATTCTATCAGTCATCTCTCCATCTATCCATCCATCCATCTGTTCATCCATCCATCCATCCATCCATCCATCATCTGTCTATTATATCTACCTGCCAACCTACCTATCTCTAAACTACGTAGTAACCTGAAAGTCAGGCTTACCTACAGAATTCTTAGACTTGTCAGAGTTAAGGGCCAAGTCAGGGGCACAAGGGAGTAGGCTCTCAAATCACACTTGGTCCCTTATTTTCTCTCCCCTGGCTTATCCCACAGCACACTACCCTGGGACCAGTGGCTTCCCAGTCACTTCTAGGTTCTGAGAGACCGCCATAGGCAGTGCAGTCTACCCAGGGAAACCACCTATGTGGACCACGGCCCACAGACACAGCCAGTTCTCTGAGCCACGTAGAATCTTTACCCGACAAGGAGGGGCACATCCAAGCATCCTGATCACAGGACCCAGGTTGGGGCCATCCTAGCAGTTTGAAGGGCCCTGCTGATAAGTTTGTTCAAGGATCTCATCAGGTGGGCTCCAGCTAACTGAGGCTCCCTCTCCTAATCTGGCTGCCTGGCCTCAGGGCTGCAAGTGGATGCTCCAGCGCTTCCGGCAGTACCTGGTGTCCAAGCATGGTCCTGAGGCAGTGGAGACGCTCTTCAGTGACATGGACAACATCTTCATCAGGTGCCTCCAGAGCGTGCAGAAAGTGATCATCAGTGACAAGCACTGCTTTGAGCTGTATGGTTACGACATTCTCATTGACCAGGACCTCAAGCCGTAAGTGGGCAGGGGCCCAGAGAGTTGGGGATCATGATCTCCACACCCCACTGCAGACCACCTTGGCTTGATTCCCTGCTCTGCTGTTTCTTAGCTGTGGAAGCTTGGATACACTTCCTTTTTCTGTGCCTCAGCTTGCCAGTTTGTAAAATGGGGCTGGCAGAGTATCTGTCCTTATGGGATTGTTAAAGGGATAAATGAGCTCTAATCGGTACAGGCCTGCTGCTAAAGGGACCATTGCTGCATGGCTTTTCCTAGGAAGCCTATTTCTATTCATCCCAGATAGGGAGGGCTATGCTAAAACAGGAAAAAGAAATTTCAGGGCTGGAGAGATTGCTCAGCAGTTAAGGACACTAGCTGCTCTTGCAGAGGACCCAGGTTCAATTCCCAGCACCCACATGGAGGCTAAGCACTGTCTGTTACTCCAGTTCCAGGGAATCCGACACCCTCTTCTGACCTCTGTGGACATTGCACGACATGGGTGCACTTACACACATACAGACAATACACTCATATACATAAAATAAAAATATTTTATAATATGTAGTAATAAATAATAAGTATAAAAAATATCAACTATTTTCTATCCTCTGAGAGGCAAGGACCTCATGAACTCTCCCTTCCTTTCATGAGGGAACATCAGTGGACCCAATCTTGTAAGGGTCTCGTGAGTAATCACAGCTGCTCTGATTTCAAGGACAGGCTGCATCATACCCAAAGGACAGAGTTCCACAACAGAGAGGGAAAACTCCCACCACTCAAGGCAGAAAACTTGCCCTCTGGGTGGTTTGAAGCATGGAGAATGCAAAATGACTACAAGGGAATGTTGCACAATGTCCATCCCTGCCAAGAATCCAGAGCCCTCCCACAGCACCCTCCTTCAGAGGAGGAGTATCTGATCAGAACAAGCCCAAGCTGGCAGAGACCATGATGACTTTATCTGATATGACAGAACATGGAAACTCTGTAGACTGTTTAGGAAGCCTGAGGTCAGTTGCAAGTCAAGGGAAAAGCCTGGTCTGAGTCTAAGCACCTGGGCTGAGCTCCTCCCACAGGCACTGCTGGATGTGAGTGGTGGCTCCCAAGGTCAGCAGGCCCATGCTGAGGGGCCTTGCAGAGACAGGAGAAAGAGCAGAGCCTAAGTTGGCCCCTGGTACAATGGAAATGAAGTTCCAGTACCAATGGGTCTCACCTTCACCGCTGAAAATGTGGTTACATACGAAGGTGAATGAGTTTGGGAGGAGGCAGTGAGGGGTGGAGAAGGGTCTTGGTCTCCTGCTGACCTGCTGGGGAACCCTGCCCTCTGTGTCTCTCATCGGACCTCTCCAGCTGCTCTTGGCTTGCAGATGTGGGTACATGGCCCGACTTTGGCCTTTAGAATGTTTTTATTTGCATTTAATTTAAGTGCATTGATAAGCTCTAAAATTTGGGAAATGTTTACATAAAAATTAGAATTTGGGGTTTTTCTAGAAAAATCATAGGACCCACAATTCTGGCCTCACAGTCCCATAGGGTAACACTGCAGCAGCTGCCCCTGCAGACAGAAAACCCTGTCTCCATAGCCCTGGTTGTGGGGCAGTGGCTAGCAGTAGGCACACATTCACTGGGAATGGGATTTTCCTGCTTAAACCTGGAAGAAGGTAAAGCAACAGAGGCAAGAGGTCTCATAATGGACCTGTGCCCCATGGCTTCCCTCTTAAGCTGTCCTCTCTTCAGAGTGGACAGGTCAAGGGATAGCCCTGGTGAGGTAGGAATGGTACTCAGGCCCCTGGAGTCTTGGTGAAATGCCAGGGCCTCCAGGGACCAAGTGACCCCCCCACAAAGCTGTCCCTCCCTGTCCTTCCCAGGTGGCTTCTAGGAATCAACGCATCTCCTTCGCTGATGGCCAGCAGCCAGGAAGACTACGAACTCAAGACCTGCCTGCTGGAGGACACCCTGCATGTAGTGGACATGGAGGCCAGGTGAGGCCCTGTCTGCACTCCATCCTGGGCAGATGGGCTCCTGCCAAGGAAGAGAAGACTTGGAGCCCTGAGATAATCTTCCTTTTAAAAAAAATATTTATTTTTATTTTATGTGTATGTGTATGCGTGTATTGCCTGCATGTAGGTAAGTACACTCATGTCATGCAATGCCTGTGGAGGACAGAAGAGACTATCGGATCCCCTGGAACTGGAGTTATGGACAGTTGTTAGCTGCCATGTGGTGTTGGGATTCAAACCTGGGTCTTCTGCAAGAACAACCAGTGTTCTTAACTGCTGAGCCATCTCTCCAGCCCCCCTTCTTTTTTAAAAATTATTTTTATTTTATGTGTATGAGTGTTTTGCCTGTGTGTATGTAAGTGCACCCAGAAGGGGGTGTTGGATCCCCTGGAAGTGGAGTTACAGATGGTGTCAGCTGCCATGTGTGTGCTGGGAACTGAACTTGGGTCCTCTGTAAGAACAGCCAGTGCTCTTAATCACTGAGTCATCTCTCCAGCTCCAAGATACCTCAGTTTCAAAGATGGAGAAACTGAGATGTCCACAGGCCCAAGGACTCTCAGGGTAGAGAACTCATTCTAGATGGATTTACTCAAAATTTCCTGACTGTGGGACTCTGGGCCAGTTACTTCATCTCTCTGAGTCTCAGTTTCCTCATCTATAAAATAGGAAGCATTGTAACTCCCTTTGGGGTTGCTAGATTAATTCACTAAGACAAGTCACTGTTAACTACTTGGCAAGTAAGAGGCTACTTAGTGTTCTGACACTGTATCTTTGGTGCAGAAGGCTTCAGGAATGGGTGAATCTAGGTGTGTAGTCAGCGTTGGGCACATGCTTTCTCATACATGCATACTGGTGCTTGGCCTTCCCCTCCCTGCTCCTCTTTCCTCTGTATCAGCTCACCCAACCCTTTAGTCCAAGCAGAAGTTGGAGGGCTAATTTTCATACTGGAACTAAGTCTGTCCTCAAAACAATCACTGGGTTAAGGAGGGAGGTCTTAAAGGAAGGGCCTGAGGCTGAAGGAAGTTATAATAGGCACTAAGCAGAGGGAGACCTCATGCTTCCAGTATACTTGACTTACTCATTCGACAAACATCTGAATTCCTACAGTGTTCCAGGCTTTGTGCCATAGCACTGGGGATACAGTAAAGAGCAAGAGAGCTGGGTGAGGTGAATCACAGCTGCAATCCCAGCACTTGGGAGGCTGAGGCAAGAGCACCACAAGTTCAAGGCAGGCCTGCATCACAGACCAGACTGGGCTGCTGCTGAGTGAGACTCTGTCTCACACAAACAAAAACAAGACAGATGATGTACCACCTTCATGGGAGTTTTGATCTGGGAAGGGAAGCAGATTTTAAGCCAGAAATCACAAATTAGGATCACATTACTAAGAGGGAGTGTGGGGGCCTTGGGGGGAAATGAGGGTGACACCTCAGAGACCTGCATGATACCTTGAGTGGAGCTTCGGTGGGGTGGGACCTGGCTGGGATTTTAAAGCCTCACCCACTAAATGTTCTTTAACTCTTGACATCACCAGGCTCACAGGAAGGGAGAAGAGAGTTGGAGGCTTTGATCTCATGTGGAACGATGGCCCTGTCAGCAGAGAGGAGGGGCCTGCTGACCTGTTTAGGATGAGAACCTTTGTGACCAACACACACTTGGGTATGCTGGGCCAGGCAGGACATGGATGGGAGGGACAGGTGGACTAGGGGGAAGTTTGGCATAGCAGTTAGATGATGTAAATTCAGTCAGCAGTGTAGTAGGTATGTGACTCCAGAAAGTGACGTAAACTCCCTGTTCTCCAACCAGAAACTAGAGATGAATTGTTACTTATAGGTGTATCCAATCTGTAGCCCAGGACCTCAGGAAGCCAAAGGTGGCTATGAATGTGGCCCAATACAACACTGTAAACTCACTTAAAACTCTTAGGAGGGGCTGGAGAGATGGCTCAGCAGTTAAGAACATTGGCTGTTCTTGCAGAAGACTCACGTTTGAATCCCAGCACCCACATGGCAGCAGCTAACAACTCTCCATAACTCTGGTTCCAGGGGATCCATCAGCCTCTTCTGTCCTTCTCAAGCATTGCACAACACAGGCGCACTTACCAACATGCAGGCGATACATGCATACACAAAAAATAAAATAAAAAAATAAAAACTCTTAGCCTCACCTCCCTCTGCTTCCCTGGGCCTGAACGACCTGCAGGCCTCTCTCCAGGGTAAGTCGATTGTGCCCTCTGCTCCTTGACTCCCCCAGCCTCATTCACCCCCCTCATCTCTCCACCTAGCCTGTCCCATTCCTTGTCTTGGCACCCCAGACACCTGGGGGACCACCACTACTTCCTGATCCTTTGCATCCAGACCAACCCAGTTCCTTCTCAGGTCCCCAGGAGCCTCTGGGCTTGGTCCAACCCTCATCTCCCTCTGCTTCCCTGGGCCTGCACGACCTGCCAGCCTCTTTCCTGGACACCTGGGCTAACCTTTTCCTGGACACCTGGGCTGACCTTTCCTCTTCCTGAACCTTTGCATCCAGACAACCCAGTTCCTCAGTGCAGTCCCCAGGAGCCCTTGGGGCTGCTTCCCACCCCCATCTTCCCTTACATCTCTGGGTGGCATGGCCACCAGCTGCCCTAGACCAGCATCTTTCCTGGGCCCAGCTCCCAGGCCAGTCCAACCCCCAAATTCCTGAGGCCAAAATCTTTCCTGGAGGGATCCAGACCTTAGGAGAAAGCCTGAGAGCATCTGATCCTCATCTGACTTGGGCCTCTGTGGGAACTCTTGAAAACAAAAGCAATCTGGCCACTCCTGAAGACAAAAGAAATCTGGCCACTGCAAGATAAAATAAAATAAGAGAACTGGAAGCTTAGAGGAATCAGCTTTTCATGCCCCAAAAGTAAACCACAAAGACACGTAAAGTTCACAGAAAGAAGCAGATCTAAACTTGAAGGCTTGAATCTCACACAAGAATCAGAAACGACAAAAAAATTCACATGTCAAATTCACAGAGAAAAAATAATAACATGAAGAACCAAAATAACATATCCCCATCAAATACCAATAGTCCTCTAGAGGAGTACCAGTGAGAACCCCCTAAAGATAATGCAGGACATGGAACTCAAAAGAACAATTATAAACATGATAAAAGAATTCAGTGAATTTAAAGAACACACAAAGAAATCAAAGAACTGAAGGAAGACAGGGATAAACTTCTGAATGAATGAATTTAGAAAAGTTAGAAATATTGAAGAATGCTCAGGCGGAAATGAAGAAGGAAGTGAAACACTCAGTAAGCCAATTAGAAATGACAGGAGAAATCCTCACCAACAGGATCAATGAAATGGAAAACAGAGTATTAAGACTGGAAGATAAAGTAGACAAACTAGACCACTCAAGCAAAGATTATGAAAAATTTAAGAAATCACAGGAATGGAATATGCAGGAATTGTGTGACACCATAAAAAGACCAAACACGAATCAAAGGCATACAGGAAGGAGAAGAATCCCAAGATAATGGCAAGGACCAGATTTTCAACAGAATTGTGGAAGAAAAGTTTCCACAATTAAAGAAAGACATGCCCATACAAATACAAGAAGCATATAGAACACCAAACAGACAGGACCAGAAAAGAAACTCTCCACGGCACATCATAGTAAAAACACTACACATACAAAACAAAGAGACAATACTGAAAGCTGCAAAAGAGAAACAAGTCACATATAAAGGAAAACCCATTAGGATTACAGCTGACTTTTCAGTGCAAACTATGAAAGCCAGAAGAGCCTGGATGAAAATATTCCCAGTTTTAAATGACCACAGATGCCAACCCAGACTACTATACCCAACCAAAATGTCTATTGTAGTCAAAGGGGGGAAAAAATCTTCCATGATGTAAATAGGCTGAAGGAATTCATGTCCACAAAACCAGCCCTTCAGAGAGTTCTGGAAGCAATACAAAGAGCTGAAGAAAGGGGTTGTGGAAAGAAATTCAACCCCCAAGGGGTTGTGGAAAGAAATTCAATGAAGGTATAACTGTGGCATAAAAATAAAAAATAATAAATTAAATATTTTTTAAAAAAAACGAATACTAGCCAAGTGTGGTGGCACATGCCTTTAATCGCAGCACTTGGGAGGCAGAGGCAGGCAGATGACTGTGAGTTTGAGGCCAGCCTGGTCTACATAGTTCCAGGACAGCTGGGGCTACAAGGAGATCCTGTCTCTAAAAAGGCAAAAAAAAAGGACAAAAAAAAAAACCAACAAAAAGAAACAAAACCCATCTTGTTGTCTGCAAGAAACTCATCTCACTTTCAAGGACAGACACTATCTCAAAGTGAAAGGATGGAACAAAATATACCAAGCAAATGGCACTAAGAAAAAAGCAGGCATAGCAATCCTAATATCGGACAAAATAGACTTTACACTGAAACTAACCAGAAAAGACAAAGAGGGCTATTTCATTTTGATCAAAGGAACAATAAATCAAGAAGATATTACAATCATGAACATATAGTCACCAAACCCTGGTTCTCCCAACTTCATAAAAACAACACTATAAGACTTTAAGACCCAGATTAACCCCAACTCATTAATAGTAGGGGACTTCAATACCCCACCGTCTCCATTAGATAGGTCAACAGGGCAGAGAGTTAACAGACAGACATCTGAATTAAACAATACCGTATAT